TGGATTCTCCCGCGCTATTTATTTATTCAAGATGAGAGAGTGGAGTTCATTGCTCTCTATTTCTCATGCCATTTCCCGGGGTTGAGGAGAGGGCTAAGAGTCATTAGCCTCTCTCCAGTCCCGAAGGGGCTGAGGGGCTGAGAGCTCCTCTTCTCGTTCCTCAGTGAACTCCCATGGTTGGTTGGTAACAGTGTATCTGGAGCCATCCGACGGGAGGACGTGCACGTGTAGAGGTTGTTTTAGGGCAAGGGAAAATTTCTGTGTGGAGTAGAAGGATGAGACGTAAACGAGAGGGAAGCAAGGACAGCTTTTTTCCCAGAAGCTTCGGGAATGACTGGGCCAATGGGTGAGCTCCTCATGGACCCCCATCCACATACTAAAGAAATCTGGTCATTTATCTCCACGCCCCACATATATCCCGTGGGTATATTTTCTTGCTGACCTGGCTGTGCATTACATAGCACAGTATATCTGTTTCCAAGAGATGGAGGGGTAGGAGACAACCCTGCATGCACTCCTCCTCTCCTCGTCAGCCCCACGTCGTCGACTCGTTACTGCTAGAGACAGTAGTATTGAGAGGGTCAAATGTCATTTCCTCCCCAACCGCCAACCCTTGGTAATAGAATAGAGTGGTCAGAGGGGTACGACGTGTGAGACTCATCCACACGGATCATGGCTCATGGATATGTCAGAAGGGCTTTCGTCATCTCCTCCTACCTTCTCGTCGCAACCACACAAACCTAGTGTGCAATTCAGTTGACCAGGGATGATGGTTTAGAGAGGTCGTCGCCCTCGTCCTCGTCCCTAGTTGAGACCTGGGCGCATGTGTCCCTAACGTCTCCAGTCAATGAGGGGTTTACATATATATATACGTATGTATGTGTATATGTGCGGGTTGGAATGATAAACTAAGTGAGACCAGACCACCAATCATTCTTCTCATGCTAAGGACTACCATGAACACTGGGGTTCCTTGCCAGAACCGTCCTTCTATTTTGGGACTCTCGCGCTTGGGAACCGGGTTTACTGGTTTTCCCTTGCACTCGTCATATCGATAGGGAAGAACAGGGAAGATGATTCAAATCCCGACTTTTTTTATTTTTGGTTCGTTATAGTGTTGCTGTCGTTGAACTCAGGCAATCTGGTCGTACTATCCGTCTGATTCGGTTCGCTGGGTAGAGTGTTGAAATACCGTATAGATGGTAACGAAAAATCAAAATCCCTACCCACTCCACCAACAAAAATAGTCAGTGTGGCACCATATATATGTAAGCCAGAAAGCCTGTCTGTACGGGGATCCGCATTATCCGTGATCTGAGCATGTGCATATGCAAACTGCCGTTACGGATCACCGCATGGAACCATGCCCAGGTGGACTTTTCCCTTAACCAGGATGGACACTTGACTCTCTCTTCCTTTAGAGAGTCCAGAGAACAAGACACGCCCGCGTGAGAGACCATGCATCATTCATGTATCCCTGCAGCTACTTTTCGCATGAACGCAAGTTCCCTCCCCTACCAGATCCTTTTTCATCCTCCTTGACTATCCCCGCGCCGACACTTCCTCCCTAGAGTAAGTAATATATACAAAAGAAAGGATTACAGCAAGGGTTCAAGAAAAAAAAGGTAAGAATGCATACTATCCATACCCCTCGCGCCCTAACCCAAATGGACGGACGCGTCGGCATACCTGCTCTTCTTCCACAATCGGTAATCAGCAACAACAGCCTTTTTGGCTAGAGCAACCCTGTCCTCTACCCCTCTACCATCACCCGTTCTCCCTCCCCATCCTGGCCATGACCGGGAACAAGCCCCTCCCGGACAGCCCATTCATAGTAGTAGATCACACACATCAATGGCTGGCCCACGATGCAAAAGGACACCCAAAATACCACATTCCCCACTCCGCTTCCCTCCCCACGCCACCGTCGGACTTGACGCGTCAGCATGATCAACGGCATTTGCGCCATCATCCCGCCAAACGCAAGTCCATTCACAGTCCCGAGCGGCACACCCACGATCACTTCGTGCATCGCCGCACTCACAAAGAACACAAATGCTGCCGCTGCCGCCACTGATCCAGTCCGACGAGTGATGGGTGAGTGGACGTGGCGTTTGAGGAAGGAGTGCACTGGCCGGTTCCATGTCCTCCAGTACTCCCCCAAATCCCGGGAATTCCACCATGGGTCATAGAACCGTCGATCTCCGAATCGCGTCACTTCCGCCAGGAGATTCAAAAATGCATGAAACAACGCGTAAAACATCAAGAGCCACACAACAACCGCCGACGTTGACAGCTTTAACGTCCGCTCCACCAGTACCCCAAGGTGCACCCCTCCCCCAGGTCCATCTAGCGCCCGAAGAGAGCCCTCGAGCGTCGGCCTGCAATACTGCTCCACCACCACCCACATGGCCGTCACCGCAATTCCCAACTCCCCCAGTCGTTTGGCTACCTCCTTCATCCGAACCATCCCTACCATCGGGTACACTGGCTGGTAGCACAATGTGGGCGCCGCCAGAAAGTACCCCACACTACTCCAGGAGGGAAAGGCCGGAGTGACCTGGCGTCTCTTCCCCTCCCCTGATTTCTCCTTGTACCGCTCCCGGCACACAAGGACCAAGCTGGTCAGTTTCATCGACATGATCGTTGAGGTCATCACACAACCCAAGGAGAGAAAGAAGGGCGGAAGCGCCTCCCCTGACGCCCGCTGCAGCAGGACGCACGGACTCACTAAAGTAGAGATCACCAGAGTGGACTGGACCAGAGCCTGCGGAAATGTGGGGAGAAGCCTGTGTCGCTCCAGTAGGGTCGATAGGACAAAGTGAGCCCATGGAAGAGCCAGAGCCACCGTAAGTGCCGGGATCAGAGAAAATGACCCTAGGGTGAAGGGCTGACTGATGAGCAGGCCATACTTGAGGTAATTTTCCACAACCAACCGCGTATTGTTCGCCACAAAAAGGAGCATAGCCAGGTTACGGAACCCACGGTATGATCCTGGCGTCGCCTCCTTGGAGAGAGGTGAGGGTTGACAGGTCGTGTGAACAGGAAAGCCGTGACCCGATCGATCTCCGTCTGATGGCTGTCTCCGCTGCTGGTTAGACACAGTGAAAAAGGGTGAAGTCGAGGCCGAATCGGCTGAAGGAGAAGGTGGAGTCGAGGAAAATAGAAATTCTCCTTCATCTTCATCCTGCGGAGTCGTCGAGTACGCCTCAGAGTATCTTCCTCCTCCGAGCCTCCCCAGCTCCGGAGACACCCCTTCTCCTCCCTGCGATCGATCTCTCCTCTTCCTCAGAGATCGTTGCGACTGAACCCCGCTCGCCCCACTCAGGCTCCCGGACCGTCGGACGGGCAAGGCCTCGGGCGAATCACACAGCCCTTCAGGGTCCGACCCCCCGGTCTCCGGTTCACTGTCCCACGCCGGCGTCACCGTGATCGTAGGTGTACTGGGACGACGCTCTCGTCCTCGCTGACTCGGTGGGGAGCCTCGACCCGATTGTAAACTCGACGACGACGACCGTCGAGAAAGAGACGGTACAGTAGACATGATTCGGGTTCACTAATGGTCAGGGGGAAAAGGATGTTGTTTTGAATGCTGGATGATACACACTGGTAGTAAGAGGAGACGAAGGGGGAGGAAAGACTGAAGGGAAGGATGACTTGGAGAGGAAAAGGACAATGAGGGAGAAGGGAGAGCCGTTGATGGTGGTGACGAAAGTCATAGCCTATATCTCTCCCATGTGCACCTCGGCTCCTAACACCCCGACTACTCCGCCACCCTTCATCGCTTCACCCTGATCCCCTGCGTCAGATCCTATCTCTTTGTCCCCTCATAAACATCATGCCCCTGCTTCACACTTCGGATCATTGAGGCAGGCAGGATGTGCTTCAACATCAATTCAACGGACGAAGGTAGATTTGAACCCTAGGTAGTCATCCCAGCCATCGATGCAGTTGTATGTGCATGAAGGATCGATGATCTACCCTCACTCTTTACAATTACCACCCCACCTCTTGACCCAAGACTATACTATCATACTATTATCATCAACATGTAAGGGTCAATGGCCCAGATGAGTCCTTCACACAGTCGATATAAATCAAAGGTAGCTGAATTGGTCAGGACTTACCGTACCTTGGCTCGGATGATGGGAAGAGTATTTTTAGCCTAATATTAATTGCTTTATGCCCCCTCCCATCCTCCAAAACCAAAGTCTCAGCGCCCGTCCCACTCTTCACGTCAAGGGCCGAAGAAGGTGCACCAAGGAAGTTAAACACCGGGACGGCTACAATGGCAGCAGTATGCAAATAAACCCCTCAAAATGCATCACTCATCCTGCCAATATCAGCACAAATGGGCATGGCTACCCCCCCCCCTCCTCTTATATTCCTTTTTCTGAAAATTCAATTTGACTTCTCCCCCCTATCCTTCCTCTGCACGTCGGGAGCTCAGGACATCACCACACTCCAACCACCACTCATTCCTCATCCTCGCCGTGAAGCTTCTTATACTCCTTGGTGGCCATGTACGCATGCTCTCCATTGCCGTACGAGTACGTCACGTAAAACAAGACAAAGGCCGGGATCACGTAAGGAAGCTGCTGGGACGTCCGGCGGAAAACGTTGAAGATTCCCTTCTTCATGGCTCCGGCGAGGGGTCGCTGCTGGTAAGGGGAGAGCTGGTAGGTCACAACACCCCGCTGGGTAAGAGAACCGGAATGGCCGGGAGGGCCAAACCACTTGCCGCCTCCGAGCTTGGGAAGTGTGGGTTGCATATTGAGAAGGGAGATAGGGGGGACGCAAAAGGGTCTGGGAAACGAACGAGGAAGAAGAAGAGCAAAGGCGTCTCAAAAGGAAGGGAAGGGGGAAGAAAATCGTAAGGTGTGCCCCGCTGTTTGCCTCTCGGAACAGGTCGGACAGAAATATGCGTTGGTGGGTCAGCTCCACACCCATGTGTATCAGTACATAATTACAATTAAATAGTAGTAAAAAACAAAAATATAGCGTTGGTGGTTTAGTGGTATAATTACCGCCTGCCACGCGGTAGACCGGGGTTCGATTCCCCGCCAACGCACTTTGTTTTTATACTAACTAAAAACTTTACTTTTGGGGTTGTATAGAGGCGCTTGAAAAATATCATAATGATAAATCGGGTACTGATGTTCGTTATCAGGTTCCATGGGGAAATTAGAATGTAATCTTGCATTATCATTGGTAAGGTGTATAAAATACTTTATTCTAGATATCCAAATTACCACTTCAGTCATTTAGGAAGAGTGAGAGGATAAATACCTGTAGAATGTTTATTGTTCTTGAATTTTCTCGAAGGTTCAGCCTATCCCACTAAAGGAAAACAAAATGGGGTTATTAATACTAGTTTAACCTACCCCACTAAGGGAAAAATATAATGGTTTCATCATCATCATCAGGGTATTATCATTATTTATCCAAAGTCAGTGGTTAATCTTAATAATACTCTTATTTAGTCATCCTATTTTACCTGTTCTTGGTATCGTGCATACTGGCCTATTATTATTAGGCGGATGGGCATCCGAACCTTTATCATCATCATTTTGTTTTACTCAATCATTAGATATTATGGCTAGCTAGCTAAAAGTATGCATTGATCATTTAACATCAAGGGCTGCTCTCGACAAGCGTAGCACATTGATAAGACCTTTCCTGCCGATCCCATCACCATTCGCAATTATCAGTTTAATAATCCTTAGCGTCACCTCCATCCATAGGATTAGGTGCTGGGCCCTTCTCCGCTCCATTAATTGAGTCAGGGGTTGCTCCTTCCCCCCCTTCTGTTCCATTGCTGCCCCCGGGCCTCTTTCCTCTGCCTCTTCCCCTACCACGACCACTACCAGGTGGTCGCCCCCGTGGGCGCTTCGGAGTAAGGTTTTCGCTCGTATCCGCCTTGGTGCTACTACCATGGGGTCTCTCTATTGGTCTTTTAGGAAGTAGGTTTCTCTCCATAGCCGGCTTCGCTCCGTGTCCACGCTCACGTTTATTCCCAACAGGCCTGCCTCGGGACCTTAGGGTTCTAAGCGCCCCACGTTCGGAAGCAGATAAACCGCCTCGACCGCGCCCTCGGCCTCTTCCTCTTCCTCGAGTCACTCTATCACCCTTTTTTTGAGCAGCCCTATTTAGATATTTTCGCCTCACTTGCCTCCAAAACATTCCTCTCTTCGCCCACCAACTACGTCTCTTCTCCTCTGCCTTTTGATTCAGTTGGTTGAAAATTACATCCAACCACATGCACCGTAAACCCCAAGGAGAGGTGGGTCCAATCCCTGGATACTCTTGGAATTGGTACGCATGCCATTCCTCGGGAATCCAAGCAATCAATGCACGTAAGAAAGTTTCCGCATCCTCGAAACGTTCCAAGCTTAGAGGCCCGGTCATCTGGTAAGTGCACACCGTCTCCCCTGGCTCCTCATCCTCATCAATCGGCATCTTCCTCATCTCCATTTCCTTGATCATCGCCTCATCTTCCAGCAGTTTATCTCCCTGAAACTTCTCTTCCTCTCGGAAGAGCCTTCTCCACGCTTCTAACCGATCTTTCAGTGCCCTGAGGCAAAGTGAACCCCAGTCGTGCTTTCTCTCCTCCTCCTCCTCCTCATCTAGTAATCCCTTGTTTTCGTCTTCAGACATGGCGCTCATTTTCTTTTCTTCAACTCCTCTTTTGGCGAGCAGCAATTCCTCTTCCACCATTACCTCTCCTACATTACCCAGGGATCCTTCCAGAATATTCATTGGTGCGTTCCTTAGACTCTCAATGTATGTCTTGTTTTCCTTTTGACTCCGGCCATCTTCCCCTTCAGACGGCCCCTGGATCCTACTCTTTTTCTCCCCTCCTGCTGGATCCATTTCATTCCCCTTGTCATCATCCTCGTTTTCTAAAGATAACTGGCTTTTCTTCTCCGGTCTCTCAAACTCTATCGCATCCATTTTTCCTATCTTACCCATGGGGTCCTCCTTTTTTTCCTCTGAAAAATCATCCTTCATCCTTTCCATTTTTTCTCCATTGTCATCATCGCTCGTGGGAAGGGCCATTGGCCTTTCTACCTGGTCAAGGAAGCCTACCTTTATCTGGTCAGATTGATCAGCTTTTGCGGGTTTGGGATGATCCATTATCATCGAGTCGACTTGTTCTATATCAAGTTCACTAGATTGACCAAACTCCCCTTGAATAGGCTGATCGTTTTCTGCTAGCTCGGGACATCCTATCCCCCTTTCCTCTCCTCGCTCCATCGTCATGTGCTCAAGAGCATCCACCTCTGTATGGCCAAGCCGTTCCATTGCCGTGTCCTCTGTACATACCAGCCTATTAGCTTTCACTGAGCTATGAAACCCCAGTGGCAATTGGCCAACCTGCTCTGTCTTCATCGGACTTATATCCGCAGGTTTCTTCGCATTCTCGGGCCCCATCTCCTGCCGTCGAAGAGGTTCCTCGTCCTTTCTAGACGGTATATGGTTGATCCGCCGATGGCCCTCATTCTTTTCCCTTTCCTCGTCCCTCTCCTCTTTCCCATCAGTCTTGCTGCTACTCTTCCGAGCTGTGCGAGTAGCTTCAATCGCTCGGAGAGACTGTCTTTCGGATTCAAGCATCACTTGCTTCTCTCGCACACTCTTACCGATGCGAATGGTACGACCATCATGATGGAAGGTAGAGGAACCTGTGGAGAGGGCTGTGGAGACTGGAATTAAGTGACCTGTCCACTTGGTCGGCAGGTATACCTCCTCTGCTTTTGAGCAACTTTTTGACCCCATCAAGATCCACTCCCGCAATCGTCGGTGAGAATGAGCAATAGTAGGGGATACGCGGGTGAGTATGCTGTTCAGCCGAAGTTCCTCCAAACACTCCATCCTCAGAGTGTTTTGAAAAGCCTGGAGTTCTTCCGGAGAACCCCCTGTCTTCCCCAGGTACCACCAGGTCTCCGTGTCTCTCCAGCCCGATTGAATAAGGACTCCACCCAAAGAAGGTATATGCCAAACCACTTTTCCTTCCAGATCTGTGCCTAGACAAAAGGGCCAACGATCATGCCCCTTCTGCAAGGAGTGAGTATCCAGACAGCCGAGTTCCTTCATACGGCAAAGCCATCGGCTCCTAAGGCTTATGAAGGACGAATTTGCCTTGTCAGTTCCTCTTAGCTTATCATCTTCCTCTTTACCCTTCCCCTCTTTCTTCCCTACCGCCCCTTCTTTGGTAGCCCAGAATTCATGAAATTCGTCCTCGTCCGGACCATCAATCGATTCCCACATCATTTTCTCATCATGAGACACCTCGTCAAAAGAACTGGGGGAGATGAAACGTAGTACAGACTCTCTGCTAATGGTTCCTCGTAGGAGGCGATGCCAATGTGCAATTCCTCCAGGCTCCATCACTCGTAACCGCCGTTGGTCATCAGATCCAGCTTTCAGGGCAGGGAGACTTATCTCAAGTAGCTGATCTAGGGCAAACTGCATCTTTTTCAACGTTGCCCGGGACCGTCGGGAGGTCTTTTTCTCCGCATTGAGCTTGCTCCACAATTCAGCACTATTCATCTCGTTGATAAATTTGCTTATGACCGGAGAGGATTCTCGGGAGGTAGGTAAGTTTTTTTGATGAGGGTTTGATGATAAAGGGCTCGAGTGGGATGGATGGAGAGAAGCTTCAAGAGGCTGGGGAGGAAGGTGAGTATGGGCGGGAATCGCAGGTGATATATCCGGTCGTGGACCTATTTTGACTCCTTCTACCTGGGAAGGTCGGATGTCTTCTTCTTGAGGTCTAGACGTCAAGTCACAGGGCTCTACTCGGCTCTCAAGTTCCCTATTTGTGGAAGAGGCCTCATGAGATACCTCCACAGGATTGCACAAGGGGTTCTCCTTACTGGGCAGGGTCAAAGGTTTTTCCTTAGACACATTTTTCCCTTTGACTCCCTCCATGGAAGCAGATCTACTCGCGCTTGCTTTGTTCTTTGTCTGAATCTCACAAGCCTCTTTCGCGACCTTTAAGGCATCAAAATCCGGTCCACTGCTTCTCCGATCTTCACGGTCTTCCTCAGTATCCATCTCGATTTTCTCGCTGTCGTCACGCTCCACCATCAGCTCCTCACCTGTATTGGTCATGCTATCCTCATTCTCATGGAATATCCGAGACACTTCATGGTCCCATAAAGTTCTTGAGCTTTTTTTCTTGTCCGAATCACTATACGATTTCCCATCGACCTCCAAACCTCCTTCCTTCCTCTTCTCTACTTGGACATTTTGTACATCTCCGGGACCACTTCCTTCGGTTACAGAGGGAGTTGTTTCGGGTTTAAGGATATCGTTGGAGGAATTGGAGGCTTCCTTACGATGAGATTTGGCAATGGCCTCTGCAATGGTCAGCAGTGACTCTTGACTGTTTTCCCAGACAGTCTCCTGAAGGAGAATATCCTTAACCAGGGGCCCTACCTTTCTACCTATCTCAGGCAACATCAATTTCCGATGATGCATGGTTTGTCCCTCCTCGTGAACTTGGATGGAAAACTCCTCAGATCCAGCAACTTCCTCCACAAGGTCCATCAGAATAGCAACACGTAGAGGGGCTGTGGTGATGATGAACGGTGGGTCCTGGTAGCCTGGGGAGGACAGTGAGGGACAGATAGCTATAGACAAGGCCCGTGTCGGAAGCAGAGGAGCCAGGAGGTAGTTGATGGTCAAGGGATCCATAACCGGTAGCGCTCCTTCTAGCTTTTCAATGATCGTCTTCATCTGGGACCCTTGATTCTCCCTTTCCCCTAGAGTCTCCTTTTCCATACTCCTGGGATCCTCCTCGTTCTCAAGCACAAAATCACATCTACTTTCTCCCTCAGGTTCCTCACCAGAGATAGGCTGATGGGTATCAAAGGGTGTAGGAAGGGCGGGGCCCCCCCTGGGTGAAATTCAGGCTAGATGACTTGGACCAGCCACCTTTGCTAAACACCAAGGGGTTTTTCGTCATTAACGGATCCTTGGACCAACAAAGTTTCATCAAGGCATTGTAAAAGGACTGAAATATTTCTAGTAACTCGGGATTCAGTGCATTTTGATCCTTTAAAGCAA